TGTTGCCTTTGTTTCTTCTTGATTAAAATTTTAAATTTAAAGATTTTATAAAAATACAACTAATTTATTGGGGGAAAAAATTAGAATGTCAGTTTTGAAATAATTAAATATACATTATGTCTAATTACACATGTAAAACTATAAATACCCGAATAGAAAAAACTTCAAAATACAGAGTGCAAGATTAAAAAACAAAGAATCCTTTTTTTGTTAATTCTTGACTCGTTAAGTTTTACAATGACAAAGATACAAATTAATAATTTATAATAATACATTCAAGAAAAAATATACCTTCCCAAATGAAGAAGGTAAAGATACCTCTTCAAAATTGAAGAATGTATAATACCTTTTTATTTACCTCTCCCATTAGAATGTGATTTTTAATGAAAAGAGGTATATATCACAAATATTCTTCTTTACCCTTTGGTATACCCCTCCCATTGGAGTTGCTCTTACAAATTACTCCATGGTAAACTACATGCTTTTTAAAATGTACCATTGACAAACAAAAATACACAATCTTCAATTCTTTCACCAAAGTCTATTCTCAAAGTAAGCAGGGCCGGCCGAATAGAGGACAAACAGTCCATCCGGACCGGGCTCTAAGGAGCCCAATTATTTTTAAATATTTTATGTATGTAAGGAGTATATAAGAAGCCAGGACCCAGCCCAATATGTAAAAAGCCCATCTCATTAGCCGCCCCATCCCTTCCTACAATCCTACTTAGACAACTATTGCCGAAACCGAATCGGAAAGAGAGTGCCGACTGCTGATAACGACGCCGGTAGAGAGACGCCGCCGCCGCTTCCGCCAGACGCCGCTCCACCCTCCAGGTATACCGTATTCACCATCTTTCCAATTTAGTAATTTTTTCCTAATTTTCTTTCTTTCATTGTTTCATTCTTTGGATTTAAAATCTAGGGCTAATTATTAATTTTTAGTTTGAAACTGTGTTTTTCTTATTTCTTCCATTGTTTCATTCAGATTTCCTTTGTTTTTTCATTTTAAATCTGTGTTTTTCTTATCCGCTTCGATGGATGCAATACTATTACACTAAAATATACCCGGAGTACCTTCTTGTGGGATATAATTGGGTTTCGTTTGTTAATTTGTGTTGCATTTAAATGTATGTGTTTTAATTTTTATATTGTGCATAGCATTAATAAATATGCGGTTTTAAATTATTGATTTAGACATCGATTCTTTCGGTGGAGATAAATTTTGAAAAGTTTGAATTTTGTAGGGAGCAAGTATTTGAAACAAACAAATTATTGATTTATAATTAATGCTAGTTAGGGTTTTACAGGAATTGCTCTCATTGTACATCTTATTGGAAACAACAATAACCGTAATCTAATTAAAGTGATCAAAATTTGATAGAGCAGAAGAGCCAGCATGGGTGCTTCTTCACTCAAGGGCCTACTTTTAATTTTGTTACTGTTTTTTCACTCAGGTGAAATTAGCAAGAGGATTTAAGTTATTGTATAGATCGATATACGGATTTGAGATTTTTCGCGCTCCAAACTTGGGTAGAGCTTTCGACACCAAAGAAGCCGCAGCATTCCAGCAATGGCAGAGGTTACCCAAGCTGCTAGTGATATTCCTCCAAACAAGACAATTTACATTAACAACCTCAATGAGAAAATCAAGCTTGATGGTACCCCCGCAAGAAAAAAAAACTATGTCCCTATATTGATTTGATTGTTCATAATTGATTATTGATGGTTGTTTTAGAGTTGAAGAAGTCGCTACAGGCTGTGTTCTCTCAATTTGGGAAGATTCTGGAGGTCTTAGCTTTCAAAACCCTAAAACATAAAGGTCAAGCATGGGTAGTTTTTGAGGATGTCTCATTTGCGACCAATGCTCTTCGCCAAATGAATGGGTTCCCATTCTATGATAAGCCAATGGTAATAATTTAATGCTTTTTTGACACACATTTCTTTATAACCACCGTCTGAAGTAGCTGGTGTTTATTCGGAATTTTGAGACTGCTAGTCTATGAAACAAATACAAGTAGACACTAATATTTGCACTGATAATAGTTTAGTAAAATGTTACCTTACAATTTTTTATATGGTAGATGGATTTGTTTTATTTGCAATTTGCTCTTCAATATTTGTTTGTCTAGATTTTCCCCTCATCTTCGTCTATATTTTGACACAATTTGTGACAAATACATGTATACAGGGTTGAAATTGTTATTTCACTTGTTTTGTCTCTCTGGCCTATGTACACCCCTGTTTTGTTCATCTTATACGGAGTAATTTTTTGGTTTATGATATTAATGCATATCTCGGTATAATTTTTTGTTTTCACAGAAGATACAATTCGCAAAAACAAAATCAGACGTTGTGGCAAAGGCCGATGGTACTTTTGTACCTAGAGAAAAAAGGAAGAAGCATGAAGACAAAGGTAATACCTTTAGGCTGTTTGACAATACTCCTTTTGTCCCCAAAAACGAAGTTACATTTACTGGCTTGCATCATTTCTATATCTTCTACATACTCCATAAACTACAACCACACATTTTTCGCTTCTCTAGACTTTTTTTTGAACTCTATAAGCCAAACTGTAACTTTCTCTTGGAGGAGGGAGTGTATATGTAAAATCCTTAAGTTCTGCTATTTCCATTATTTCCAACATTTTTCCTTTCCCTTTTCTTCCAGCAGGAAAGAAGAAAAAGGAGCACCATGATGCTGCTAATCAAGCTGGAATGGGCATGAATCCTGCTTATGCTGGTGCTTATGGTGTAGCCCCTCCGGTAAGCATTTCTCTTCTGAATCTTTTCAAGTGTTTTTTACCTCCATCCATTGCCAATGAAGCTAAAAGAGTCATTATTGATAATGCTTTAGTTTGGAGGACATAGTAAACTAAAATCAAAATGACCCATTGAATAGAAACAGTCTCTCTGTTTTTTTACATGGGGTAAACTGCATACATTTGACCTTCTAGACCCCAACGGAGTTGAGAACAATACTGGTTTGATGTTGTTTCTACCTTACCTCTGCTTGAATTATCATGATATCTACCTTTGTTCATTAGAATACAGTATGATCTCATTTCTCTCTCTATCTCTCAATCTCTATCACCTTAATATTATCAGCAGCTTTCACATATGCCCTATAATATGGGTGGAGGGATGGGTGCTGCAGTACCGGAGGCGCCTGCTCCTCCAAACAAGATATTGTTTGTCCAGAACCTTCCGCATCAAACGACACCCATGATGCTCCAAATGCTGTTCTCTCAGTATCCCGGATTCAAGGAAGTTCGGATGGTGGAAGCAAAACCCGGGATTGCTTTCGTGGAGTTTGGGGACGAGATGCAGTCCACCATGGCATCCCAGGCGCTTCAGGGATTCAAGATCATGGGTGACAATGCTATGCTCATTACTTACGCCAAGAAGTAAATATATTGCCTTGTGCCTTAGCAGTACAAAACAACTGCTACTGTAGAATTGATGTTTTGACATCCTCATGCTGGCCAACTGTGTGAAACCATTAGCTTTATGATAATACCCTTTATACCCCCCGAGGTTTATAGGGACGGTGTATTTGTGTGTTGATACTTGATTATACTCTTTTTTTTCTTCTTTTAAATTTTATTGACTCTATTAACAATGTAGTATCCAATTCTACTTTATTAACCTACTACTGAAGCAGGGTAATGTTCTTTAACCACAAGGTCTTTGGCGATACTTGACTCCAATGCTTGGTTGTTTTGCCATGACAAAAAATTGTCCAGTGTCACACAAACTCGTAAATTCCATTGCGAAAATCAAACAAGTTTTCGTACTTCTTTACTCTCTTTAATTTATTACACCATAAAGGAAAAAAATTGACAATCAAATACGTTTTTATTTTACATTAAGAGCTCGTGTGGTGAATTTTGGAATATGATATGATATAGATTGTAAAATTTGGAAGAAAAGATATGAATTTTGAACTTTAAAATGAAGTTACGTGAAAATATTTAAAGTTATACTAGTATTTAATTAGTGATAGACAAGAGGGACTGTGAATGTGGGGGTTGGCAGTGGCAATGATAACTAGTGCGGGTGATTTGACGGTTGAGAATTTCAATCTCTTATATTAATATCTCTCAAATTCCAAAAATGTCAAAATTCTTTATTTGGAGGATTCGTAATATCTATATATATCAAACCCGGATTCTTCTTATGTCTCACCAAACAACAAAAAGATATCATGAAATAAAAGATCATGCTCTTTATACTCCATAAGAGTAAAGAGTTCAAGTATGCCAAATAGACTATTATTTTCTCCAATTGTCATTTTCCACATTTCAAATGGGGAACTAATAAACTTACATTGGGGTCTCTTTTTGAAAGGAACCACAATCAATCGATTTTATCTTAGTGCGTTGTGTCAAATCAAGAAGAATGATCAAACTATAAAGACAATTGGGCATATATAGGGAGGCATGATGACCATTTCTTTTCCTTTGCAATATGAAAATTTACAAAAGACAAAGATCTATACTTTATGAACAATATAAGTGCAATTACCTGTTTTTTGAAACACAAAAACAATGTAAAGCAACAAGATTGCAAAACCAACTTGTAAGATTGCATGTACAGCTACTTTCTCTTCCGACAGACATCCTCTGCGTTTCCCGGTCAGAATGCCGTAGCATTCCACAAGACATTGTCGTCCTCGTGACAACGTTGGTGCACCTCTCTCATCCTTGCAATGGAATTGCATATCCCACTGCAGGTCCAATCAAACGAAGCAACACAAATGTTGCCTGCTTGTGCCTTCCATTCACAATCTGTGTATCAAACCGAGGTAGATGATCACAAAATGAGAGAGAGATTGAGACTTGAGAGAGAGAGAGAGAGAGAGAGAGGAATTACCGGGCGGAGTCCCACAACATAATCTCCTATCATCAATGTGGTGCACATCAAGCCCGATAAACCAAGATCCCAGCGAAACATCCTCATTAGCATACTTGTGCAGTACATGCCTGTATTAGCTAACAACATTACATCTATCCCTCAGATAAAATCATCTTTCCTTATTTAGTAAAACTGAAATTTCCACCTACTAGAGAGCATTTGGTTCATTGAAAACCATGCAAGTCAAAATAGGAACTTGTTTAAGGGGCGGAGGGAGCAAATGCAAGAAATCGGGAAAAACCAAGAAAATATCCAAAGAGATGAATATTAACTGGTGTAGTAAAATATATGTAGCCAAGTCCTTTGAAATCCCATATATTTGCCCCGTGGCGTGACGAAAATACTTGTTTCCACTGTCCCCAAATTTCCAATGTTCTGGTTCGTGGTATCTTACTCCCCTGCCATCAAACAAAACCAACATGTTCAAACTCAATACTCTCAAAAGGAGTGGTACGACATGTATAAAAAGAAAGGGGCATTTTTTTCTTAGCAATCAATGATCGCTTTTGATTTTGCAGTAAACCAACCACACAAAAATCTGAATTGCTAGATATTTCATTCCCAGATTATTTATTTCTTCAAATCAACTAGCAAGTGCAGCTTTATCTTGAATCAGACCTCTGTGAAAGGACAGGACCAGATTTCATGCACCCTATGTACACGAGTGGCTTTTTGCGGTGCCTCGCTAATATTTCTCCTAGTGTTCCTGCAATGAATTTTATTTATAAAAAAACACTATAATCATTATAGTTTTTAATGAAATCAAGAATATATAACGGAGTTTTTACCTATATTTACATGAACATCATCGTCAACTTTGAAGTAATACTCAGCATTCCACAACTTAACAGCAGTGGCAAAGTAAGTTTTTGTCTTAGCAGACAACTCAAGATACCCCTCAACATGATCCTGCATCAACAATCGCCAAGTTAATCCGGAATCGTTTGGACCAATTAAAATCAGCACAATGTGAATCAAATTGGTTGAAAAGTATTGCCAGACGCAAGAAATCTCCGTGTGTCTTGTCTTCAGCTTCAATAGCTCTGTCAAGTATGCCTCCCATTGTTGCACTGTGTCAAAAATGAAGGATTCCCATTAGGCCTTCCCTAAAAACATCAACATGATGAAAAGTGGTTATAAGTTTGAGTGAATTCAAGACCCATACCCGTGCCCAATGACGAACCGGATGATTACTCCTTTCTCTTCTTCCAACTTCTTCCTTTTTTCTCCTATACGGTTGCATCAAAATAAACTAAAATCAAAATATTGTGAAAATGAAAAAGAATAATTTGATCAGAACATTGTGGAGTCAAATGAAAACACCTTGTGGCATCCACGTAGCACGAATCGAATCTCTTCTTTGCCTGCTACTGAATGCAGTATTTATTCCTATAACCATAAAATATTTCCTTGTTTTAGATGAATCAGTCTTCTCGGTGTCATCGGATACTGGAGAGCCACTAAGAATTGACTCCTGAGTTGCCTTTGCAGCAGCCAATTCCATCTCCAAATTTGATATGGTTTTATCTAGTGTCCTGCAAGAAGGAAATTGACTAGAGAGTCAATAATCAGCGCCAAATCATGAAATTAAATAGAGCAGTTCAGAACTTACTGGATAGCGCGATGTGTTTTCGAAACTTCCCCAAAGATATCTTCAGACAACAACTTCACACCTTTTGGCTGTATAACAAGAAGTCAATAAAAAAACCATATTAACTAGGTTCTACAGCTTGGATTATTATGAAACTAGGTAAATGAGAAACTCACATTTTCTTTATTGCAGTCATCCGAGACTAACTTCAGACCTTCATCTTCACCTGCAGTTGTTATCATCTCTTCAAACTCGGGAACAGCCCACATCCTGTCGAAATTCAGTTTGTTCAACCACTTAGTCTCCTTTGTACTAAGAAATTCAAGAATTCGAATTTTTAGCATTGAAATCCAAGAATTCAAATGAAATCTAAGTTCCTAGACACTGCCTAGAAGTCATTTGGCTCTTCCTCCGAAACAAGAAATGCTTGATTGGATCCAGAAATTCTAGTGGAAACCAAATTAGATCCAGAAATAAGCACAAGCCATGGAATATGGAGTTGCAGGCCAATGAAACAATAGTAGAAAACTGAAGTAGAGCCATGATTAAAACTACTAATAATAACAATAAAAATGATTACAAACAGGAAAAAGTAAAAGAGAATCAAATTCCCCACAGCCATTCATTCATTCATTCAATATGAACATCTTTACCTGTTGGCGAAGAACATTCCAGCACAGAAGCTGCCCAAGCAGAGAAACAGAGTCCATTTTCTAGAAATGAATCTTGGTGAGACGTGCTCTTTTCCCCTGCTCTTCACCCACATTTCCGATCCAATCTCTGAACCCTCCCTCCTCTACAGAGACCCGTCCATTTTCGATTTTGAACCGGAATTGTCCAATCAAACCAAAGCACCGGAGCAACGAAGAAGAAGAAGAAGAAGAAGAAGAAGAAGGTTAAACCCAGATTATTGAGGGATTTAAGAAGAAGGCAGAATGGAAGTGAGGGGGTCGACCACCTAACCTACCTGCCAAGAAACAAAGACGGGTATACCCAGATTTGATAAACTGTCTGTGTCGGAAGCGGGAGCTCACGCCAAACAACCGCTAGGTGTACTCTGTTACCAGAGTCCTAAACATACATCTTAATGACCTAACCTCCATTAGAGTGCTGACGAATGTTTATTACAGTGAGGAGTTTTAGTTCCAGTTTTCCTCCTCCTCTTTACACTTTGTTTTGAAGAAAAAAAAAAAGAAGCTCCTCGAAAGCTCTCTTAAATTTTTTACGAAATATCTCACTTTGAAAATTCCTTTCCTAATTTAATTACAAATTGAGGTTTACAAGAAGAAACATCTCACTTTTTTAAATCATTTTATTTGTAAATTGATATATTAATAAAAAATAAAAATTATTCACTCTGTCCACCATAGATCTTCCCAGACATTATTCACAGGGTCAAACTTAATTCACTTCGTTTGTATATTTTTGAATAAATTCCATAAAAGATCATCAGTTATAGGTCATTTTACATATTTAGTCCCTACATATCAAATATTACTAATTTAATCCCCAATTATTATATCATTTTTCACAAATGGTCCTTTGTTAAGGTTTTTGTTAAGAACATGGATAAAATTGTATATTCATACTTCTCTCTCTCTTCAATTAAGTTTCCTCCCTCATCTCATACTCTTTCCCAAACTCGTCGCTGAGTTTGAAGCTCTAAACCCAAAACTGAAATGATCATTCCTCTATCAATTATTAGTCTTCCTGGTAGAACCTAAAATAAAAACTAATAAGCTTTATAGATGAATTTTTTTGTTAGTCTCAAAAGATTACAAAGAAAATAAACATTAAAACTTATCCATAAAGGTTACGGGTTTCGAATTTGGGTTCCATCAGTTAGACAAACAATGAGAGAAGTGTGATGATTTTGGTTTTGGGTTCAATAGAGGAGAGAAAGGAGTATGAATTTACAATTTTATCCATATTGTTAACGGAAATGTTAACAAAGGACCATTCGTGGAAATGAATATAATAATTGGAGACTAAATTAGTAATATTTGATATGTAGGAACTAAATATGTAAAAGGACTTATAATTGGGAACCTTTTATGGAATTTACTCAATATTTTTACTACAAGAAATCACCCTACGTAGTACTCTAACTCATCTAATACTACGCATTTAGCACTGCGTATTGTTTTTTACCAAATTAGCTATTTAT